TGGATTTTCCTTGTTTCTACCCACATCTCATTGGATGTGATGTTAATACCGATTCCTATTATGGCAATTGGTAGTTATTGCAGTAAAGTAAATAAAAATCAGTGTAGCTTCTTTTTGAACGTGCTTTTTGTTAACTTGTCATAGTTATGAAATTTCAGGTAAACTTTTACGATATACGACTTATCCAGATCGGACGTCAGCTTTTATCATATTTTTTAGATTAACCTCCTTTGCATTTCCCTCACAATTATCTATTCCAGAATATTATTTTAATTTCCTATACTTCGCTAGGAAATCTAATGATACTAATCAAATTAGTGTCGCTCTTTTGTCGCAGCATCTGTATAGACTTATTTTCGTAATCGAGGTAGCTATTTTTTCTCGAAGTATTATTTCGTTAAATAATTGTTTGCTCGCTTCTCCTAAAACATTAAAAGCTATTATTAGCAATGATTAACAGTTACCATTTGTTCCAAGGCTCTTCTACTTCAGTGCTTTATTCAAAAATTCATACCACCATGTTTAGCCTTACTATTGGCCTTTATAATTCTTGGAGACTAATTGTATCTTCTTTTAAAAAATATACACTCTAGGTCTCTGCAGAAGTAGTTCGACCTCGTTTTCGTAACTTGGTTGTGTTTTCAGGGCGGCCTAGTTGGACGCATCTTCTTCGAAATCCTCTGCTATAGTGGTTATTATATTTCCCAGACGTTTCATCGGTATCGTCAGTGAGTCTTGCCATTCTCAGCACTAGGCTACAGCTCGTCAAAGAGACAAGTAAAGACAATTCCTTCACCGAATTTCTGCTTAATGGTTGTGCTGGGAATGTACCAGGTCTATGGTCCAATGCTGGGAGTTATGATAACTACTATGGCAGAGGACTTCGGACGAGGTCCACCAAACTAAGTTTCCTTGACAATACGAGCAAGTTGTAAAAACGAGGTCAGACCACTTCTATATATCTAAAGGAGACTGTTACCAAAATATAGGCCACAACATCTCGGTCTTCATATATGGGTCTCTATCTTTCATTCTATTTGGGGTTGAATATATGTTTAGTTATCTTGCAACCTACTCATTGTTTGGGCTCTAGGGTGTGCAATGCATTATGTTTGTGTGAATTTTAAATTGTTATTTGAATTTACTACTCATCTTGAATCAGTGAAACCTTTATACTCCAGCTATTGATATTTAAACTGTAATGTTACTTTGAACTAAAATTTCTTATAAGTTTTGCTTAAATAATTTTCTCTTTATGGACACTTATTTTCTCAAATTATTATTTTTATATCTTTTAAATTCCGGTTCTTTAAATCTCCAAACCCAATATTTTTAGTCTGGTGTATTGATCAGCCCATCCAGCTCTATTCTTCCAGGATCGATGTCATCTTCCACATCAACAACAGACTCTTATCCTGACTCACTCCGAAGATCATCTTTTTCATTGCCCAACTCCCCTTTTCTCTTTTATTCACTTTCACCATCTATTTTATTCCACCTGCTTCTCATGATATCATTTATTTTCCGTCTCGGCCTACTCTTCTTCTCAGTCTGGCAGGAAACGGTTCGCTGGCCTGATGGTCAGCTCCGTTTTACTGACGTCGATTATGACGTTTTCTCTGATGCAGCAGCGGCTCTGGTCCTTGGTCGTGATATTTACACAGTGCGTCCTACCTATCGGTATTCGCCTTTTATCGCAGGCCTCTTGGCTCCTGCCCACTGGCTATTTCCAAGCTTGCAGCCACTTTTAATTGAGGCCAAGCTCCAGCATCCTATTGAGCAAAAAGGTGATCAGGGGCTAATAGTTGACTTTTTATTCAGTGATACAAGTCGGCCTTAATCATCATATGCAAATCACACTGATCATATCTCATTATAAGGTTAAATGGATAGCACCGAAATCATCTTATTATAAACCGAAATGTGTTTATTCATCTATTTTTATTGGATTGAGTTATGGAGGTTTATTAGAATTAATCGGTTAGTTTTGACTATCAAGCCGATTGCTGTCTGGTAACTTTTGAGCAGTAAATATATACAGCCAAAAATGGTTATATTATATGACTCAATTGAGCATGTGAAATCTTAGCTAGTCTAGTCTTGGTTCCATGAGTTGCTAAATGAAATACTGATCATAGGAATCGACTAACGATTTTAGTATTGTAAATGCGTGGATATTACACAGGTGAAGTACTGAGGGCTGATCTGGATCTGTCACATTAATTGCCATAAATATGGTCAAATGTATTGATGGATGCTAAGAGCAATAAGTAATCGTAGGTTAATGCGATACAAACACTTTCGGAGCCTTCTGATCAACAATCCAGCAGTAAGGATGACGGAATAGCTTCTATAAATTGATTGTTCAATTGCTGACTATTGCATGCAGCTGTTACCAGTTTATCTGGATATCAGGTTCGTTTTTGTAGTTATTAGAAACAAGAATTTTGACGTCAGCATGTGGCCTAACTTGCCTCACTGAAGGCAAAACTTTTTTTTCATTGGAGGTTTTGATTTTTTTATAAATTACCTATCGCAAATGTTTTTCCATTGCCACACAATGAGGTAACCCTATTGCTTCGTTGTTCATTATTTTCTGAATTGATATCAATTGCCATGGAAAGAATTAGTTAAATAACATGATAGTCTAGGTTTGGAACTCGGAAGGATCTTCTTGATGACATGAGTATTACTTTACTTAGTACTTTACTGCTTAGGTTGATTGTTGATTGTTCTTTTATTAAGTTAAATTCTTGTCTATTATTATTTAATTTCTCTATATATCGTCATGTTTTGTCTTATTTTTAATCTGCAATATGCCAAAATAATTATTCTCTTCTGTGTATCCAAAAAATCAAGGTCAACCAATCTAATAAATTTGCCACCTTTGCTTCGTTTTAATCTGTTTTTTTTCTTAGGCATTAACGCTAGTGAGCGAAATCGAGTAATTTCAAACATTTGGGGCAAGCTTCTATTCATCGTCTTTGACCTTCTTTGCGCTTATCTTCAGAAAGAGATGATTGTGACAGAAGAAAAAGTAAGAATCTTTTTCTTTTTATACTTATTCCAATTAATACCAATTTCATCATCCTATTAATGTTTGTAGAGCTGATATTTAGCAGAATGAAATTGTAGGACGTTCAATACTGTTTTTTTAGATGAAACATTTCACTTAACTTTTTCTCATACTCAATCTGAGTTAA